TCTTTATGGTACTCTTCCAAAGCCATCGTCTGCCACGAGTTTATTAGAAAATAATAGCAGATAAGGATGACGGTTAACCTAGTATGGCAAATCTCGGCTGTAGTTATGAACGGATGTTATGCATTTCAGAGCGGTCAGATGATATGGCAATGGTAACAGAACGGATAACAGTTATCATAATACCTGTTAACCAGATAAAATTATGCATAGCATTGGACTCAGTCAAAAAATTGTGGAGTTGAATCTCGCTTTTGTTCTTAGCGTTTAGCTTTCCATGTTGAAGTCGCCACGCGCCGCATCGTTCGAAACAAAATGCTAACTGCACGCTGTGTTTAATACATTCTGTACATATCACCATATGTAGCCAATTCTTGGCTGACGGCATCAAAAGGACGTCAGGGGCTTAGACATCGTTCCATTCCAACAGTGACCGATATCTCATTGGTTGCAGACTTTCCATTTGTTTGCTTGTGTTTATGTTGGTGTCATGAATTGTCGGCTCACGAAGCTGGAGTAAACGGGGTTGAGGAACTCTCTATGTTTTAAGACCTTTCTGTAGATCATGAACTTTGAGATCGTCGTAGGACTGTGAAACTGTTCTCTTCCGCTGCGACGGTTAGCGAGGCTGGCATAACTCCTTATGTCTTTCTCAGACGGTGTTTTGAACAGAAAGGCACTGATTCGCAATTCCGGTCAGAGGGCATTGGATGCTTATTGTTGTACGATAGTGCCTGCTGTCTGAACAGGCCATGGCCGTGTTTAGCACCAAGTTGAAGAACGGGCCAGATGATGCTGGTCTGATGGCAGCGTTAGAAATCACACGTTATCGTTTCATATTTCATGACAGTCTTTGTGGCTACCCCAAATGGCAGTGAGAATGGCTCCACTATAAGATTTTTTACGATGTGTTGCAGGCATATCTCATGAATGCGTATCCAAATGTTAAATAATGCATGACTGCTCTAAGACCTCTAAGACCAGATTGTACGCCATGTTGCACCCCTCTCTTGCGTCTAAGTTCTTAGAGTGCATTTGGATCGACTGTGGCTTCATGCGATTTGAGCACCCACGATGCCAGGTTCATGTCGCATCATTTTGTTCGCTGTGCTCATTTCGCGTTCATGATAAACGATATTTCAGGAGCTGATAGTTTT